AGAGAGAGAGAGAGAGACGATAACGAATACGGAGAGGGAGAGAGAGGCTAAGCAAAGTCAGGGACGCACCAGGCAAAGCCAGTGCAGGAAGACAGAAGCAAAAAGAAAAAAGAAAGAAAAAAGAAAGAAAAGAAAAAGAGTCAACTCCTGCAGGAGAGAGGACAGCAAGGGTAGGTCCCCCCCCCATCCAAAGCGTGCCATGAGCGATCCATACATAGACCATACAGTATCTATATACCAGTGCGGTTGCTTTCTTTTCTTCTTTTGCAGATAACGTCACTGGGAATACGGGGAAATGGCGCGGCAAAGTCAGACCGAAGTCTTACAGTTGCCTCTGAGCTACTTTGTAGTCCTGATACGGATTGTTTCTCTAGTGTTTAGGCAGCTCCCTAAGGAAGAGAGAGAGAGATTGCTGGAGCTGTTAGCGCTGATCCAAGATTTTCCGTCCAGCCTTTGACGCAACGGAGAGGACGTGACTTTCCAAGCACGTGAGCTTGGTCCTGGAGTAACGTGTTCGTGGTTGGTGAGAGTGTGGATTCTCTGATCTTTAGCACACGGCTTAAAATCTGCTAGTCTGAACCCATTCAAATTAGGGACAGTTTTGCCCAGCTAGTGAATACCAGTTGAATGGGATTTCCAGGGGTAAACTATGACCATCCGTCATCTGTATGTCGCATACAAGAGCAAAACAAATCCTCTTGTGGCACCACTTTACACAATATCAAGTTATTCCTGGGCATGAGTCGTCCTGCGCTGCGGTCGACTTCTTCTGATGCTGCAACTCGGAGAAATTCTAATCTACAGTAATTGGAATTTTTTTAGTTCTGACCCTGGTTTCTGCCATATGAAACTCTGAAAATGGATCCTCCATGGTAAATTAGTTTCACTCCTCACCCCCTTTACATGGTGGCTTTAATGAGACTTTCCAAGCACGTGAGCTTGGTCCTGGAGTAACGTGTACGTAGTTGGTGAGAGTGTCGCATACAAGAGCAAAACAAATCCTCTTGTGGCACCACTTTACACAAGAGCAAGTTATTCCTGGGCATGAGTCGTCCTGCGCTGCGGTCGACTTCTTCTGATGCTGCAACTCGGAGAAATTCTAATCTACAGTAATTGGAATTTTTTTAGTTCTGACCCTGGTTTCTGCCATATGAAACTCTGAAAATGGATCCTCCATGGTAAATTAGTTTCACTCCTCACCCCCTTTACATGGTGGCTTTAATGAGGAAGTGGAGGCAAAAGTAGCTCAAGGAGGCAACCAGGACATGGGTTTATTAATCTCCTATGTTGTCGCATACAAGAGCAAAACAAATCCTCTTGTGGCACCACTTTACACAAGAGCAAGTTATTCCTGGGCATGAGTCGTCCTGCGCTGCGGTCGACTTCTTCTGATGCTGCAACTCAGAGGGAGAAATTCTAATCTACAGTAATTCGAATTTTCTTAGTTCTGACCCTGGTCTCTGCTATACGAAACTCTGAAAATGGATTCTCCATGGTAAATTAGTTTCACTCCTCACCCCCTTTCCATGGTGGCTT